CCGCCGTGTCGCGCGGCCGCGTGGAGCTCGACGCACTCCGCACCGCGCGTGCCGACGCCACCAGGCGCACGGTGCAGGCTCCAGCACGCGGCGAAGGCGAGCGTGCCGTCGCTCGTGCTGAGCTCGCGGAAGGGATGGCCGACCGCGCCTACTTCCGTCGCTTGCGCGAGGCCGCCAGTCGTGAGGCCGCGGGCTTGCCGCGTACGGCTCCCGTCCAGCTGGGTCGGGATTGGCGCAAAACTCTGCGCGCCGTCCTGCACAACGCTGAGGTCTCGACGGGCCTCGCCAACGCGGATCGCGCCGCTCGTGCTGGGGACGCCCCCGCGTCGTCTACTGGGCGCTCTCTGGCCGAGGTGGAAGCTGAGGACCCGCGCACCTTGGCGAGGCCTGCCGACGACCCAGCGTCCAGCTTCAGCCGTCGCGAGGGGCGCGCGGTCCGCGCCCGCCTGGGCCCGCGGGACGAGGCTGTCGAGGACCAGCCCAATCGCGGTGATCACGCGCCACACTCCGCCTCGCGCACGGGCGCCGCGCGCAACAAGCGCGCCAAGAAGCAGCGGCGAGCTTCGACGGCGGCGCTACCCGCCCCTGAAGAGGGAGCCGCCACGACGCCGGGCCGCAGGGCGCGTCGCACTGCTAATGCGCGTCGCTGGGCAGGCGCGGCACGCCCCAGCTCCGCCGCGGGAGTGGGCCCTCCACCGCGGAGCCGCAGCCCTGCCCGCAGCCGTACGCGGTCTCCGAACCCGTACGGGACTGATCACACTTCCCCCTCGGGAGGCTGCTCCTCGCCTCCCATCGACGTCTCGAGCGCGCCTGAGGAGCCGTCGGGGCCGCCGGCGGGGGAGGCATCGGAAGGCCCGCACACTCCTGAGGGGTCTCCTCCAGCGAGCGCCCGCAGCCGCTCGAGAGCGGAGCCCGCGTGCGAGGAGGACTCACCGACGGAGCTCGAGGACGTCGTTTTGAGTGCCCTCACTGACTCCTCGGTGGACCTCGAGCGCGTCGTGGCGGGCCTTAACCCTGAGGCCCTCCGCCGCTTGCAGGCGGCCTTCCCTCGCCGCGCGGAGGCCTCCCCGCCCGCCGCTCACGCTGCGGCTCGCAGCCGCTCTCGGGGCCGCGGCACGCGTGCTGGCTCCGAGACGCCGCGGCCCGTCCCCCCGCCGCCATCGCCACCCCGTCACCACTCTGGTGGGCGTGCGGCGTCGCGTTCCCGTGCGTCGCCTGGGCGTCGCGTGGTGCGCTCCCCTCGAGTCGCTCCGAAGCGTCGCCCGAGCCCCGCCACTTCGCAGCGGCCAGCCAGCTCCCGCGCGGACTCCGCTGCTCAGGCCCCTCCGACTTCGGTAGGCATGCGCTCTTCCAGCGATGCTGTTGCGGCCCCGCAGGGAGGAGGGCGTGCCGCCGAGAAAGGGGGGTCTTCGAGCGGCTTCGCGCTTGGTCGAGCTTCTGAGCCCGAGCTGCCTCTCAGCGGCTCTCACAGCGGTGACGCTGGAAGCGCCGCGGCTGCAGCCTTCGCAGCGCGGCGCACGGCCTCGGCGGCCGCTGAGCAGCCCTTGCCTCCAGGGGCCGCCAGCGCCCTAGCGTGGCGCCTCAACCTAGGCGGTGAGAAGATCACAGTGGTGAGGTGGGGACCCGCCTGGCAAGGTGCTTTCCAGAGCGCGGCGTCGTGGCTGAGGACTTTTGCACCCGCAGGGGCCGCCGAGCCTGAGGGCAAGGATGACCTGCACTGCCTCCTGCGGGCCTTGCACGCCTACAAGCGCCTGTTTCAGACAGGCGGCGCCGAGCCGATTGACGAGGCCTCGTGGCTGCATCCTTACGTGGCCATCGTCGAGCCCGAGGCGATCCCCGCGGATGCTGACCTCCAGGCCATGGGGGCGGGCGCCATCCGTGGCATCGGGCTCGGCTCAAAGATCGAGCAGCGGCGGCGCGCGGGCAAACTGGCCTGCCTTTTCGACCTTCTGTACCACGTGCAGGACAGTCACGGCGCCATCCCAGCAGCGCTGTGGGGATCCCATTCCCCTCCGTCCGAGATCCTCGACGCCTTCGCGGAGGTGGTGCCCGTGCCACATCATTCGGGCCTCACGTCCTCGGCAGCTCGTTCCGAGCTTGCCGAAGCAGCCGCAGCTGCGCGTGCCGAGCCGCGCCCGCCTTTTGACTGGCCGACCCTCGAGAGAGGGGACGCTCTGCCAGCCGAGATCGAAGCAGGGGCTCGCCGTACCTACCGTAACATGGGCGGGTCCTTCAGCTCGGCGCGGGCGATGCTGGCGGAGGCGTCGGGGTTCGAGACCGACGGGCGGGACGCCCTCGTTCCGCCCTTCTACGCGTCCAGGCGCAGGAGGGCCGCCACGGTGATCAGCTCTCCAAGCCCTGGCCGCCCTGCGCTCATCCTGTGGTGCGTCTGCGGCCTCTGCATCTCTCTGGGAGCCGCGGCGCCGACCGCAGGCCAAGGGCTTAGTCGGGCTGCGCCGTCCGCGCCCGCTCGCCCTCCGCGCACTCCCTTTGTGCGCGATTCTCACCTCACCTCCGCGTATCTCGACCGTCGCTCGAGATCGATTGATGCCTTCGAGCTGTGGTTGGCAGAACACACTGGCGTGCCACCCGCCACACTTTACCGAAGCGGGATACTTCTCGCTCGTTTCCTCGCGACCTTCGGCGTGTGGCTTCATGATGCAGGTTTCCCTCATTATATTTTGGTCCATGCCATCTTGGGAATCCAAAGCGCCCATCCGCATTGGAAGGCCTTTCTGACAGAAGCTTGGGACGTAGCGAAACAATGGAAGCTTGCGGAGCCGCCAAAGCTCCGTCCCCCCTTGCCACGCGCGCTGCTGCGCGCCATGGTCGGGCTCTGTCTCGCCTGGGACTGGCCTGTGATGGCGGCGCTGCTGCTCATGGGCTTCACGATGTTCCTCAGGCCTGGCGAACTGCTGGCGTCACGCCGCTGTGACCTGTCGCTTCCATGCGACCGTCTCGAAGTCGAAGGGGATGCTTTTCTTTCAATTCTTGTTCCAAAGACCAGAAGAACGTACCCGACGCAACATGCTCGCTGCTCCGATCGGGGCACGGTGAAGATATTGAGTCAAGTGTTTGGAAGGTTGGCTTCCACCGATCCTCTCGCCCCCTTCGGTGCGAGCGGCTTCCGTACTCGGTGGAATCATCTGCTTTTGGCTCTGGGCGTCCCTCTTGCCAAAGCAGGTCAGGGGCTCAACCTGACGCCCGCTTGTCTGCGGGGCTCTGGCGCAACAGACTTCTATATCGCTACGGAAGACGTCCCTCGCGTCTTCTGGCGTGGGCGTTGGCGTCAGGCTTCCAGTGCCGAGCGCTACCTGCAAGCCGCCGCCGCCTCGACAGTTCTTGCTGCGCTGCCCGAGCACGCGCGGGCTCGTATCTTGTTCTTCGCCACCGCCAGCGACCGCCTCGTCGCTTCTTTCCTCCAAGTCGGCCCCGCCGCTTGGCCTGCCCTGCTTGCGGCCGCCCGCCAAAACCTTGTCACTTCGCAAGGTCCTTGAGCACGGGTATGGCTGCCTCGCCGACATCGGCGACCAGACGGACTCCACCGTCTGACGCGCGGCGCCCCGGCTTGAGCGCGCGGGACGGGCCTGCCCATTTTGGGCCGCCCCGCGCGCGCACGCCGCGGCCGCGCACGGAGACAGCTCGCTAGCGCGCGAGCGGGAGAATGTTTCTTCTATTCTCTGTGAGCAAGCTCCTGCTGTCTCCGCAGCTTCTCTGCCCCCCTCCCTCCTCTCCCATTCTAAGGCTGACGGGCGCTGCCTCGCCGACATCGGCGACCAGACGGACTCCACCGTCTGACGCGCGGCGCCCCGGCTTGAGCGCGCGGGACGGGCCTGCCCATTTTGGGCCGCCCCGCGCGCGCACGCCGCGGCCGCGCACGGAGACAGCTCGCTAGCGCGCGAGCGGGAGAATCTTCATCGTCAGCATCATCATCATCATCATCATCATCATCATCATCATCATCAGCAGCATCAGCATCATCATCAATTCCGGGACGCGGGAGCGCCACGTGTGAGCGGGTCGATATAGGCCCCCCTCCCGTTAGGCGCACGGGGCCCCGTACAGCGTTATGCTGCGCGCCGTTGGCCTGGGCAGGCCCAACGGAAGGGGGCGGGGGGCCATGTTCAGGTCTTTCAAATGACCAAACGGTGTAGAAGTTGTTAAAAATCCTTGGAGTGTATAAATCCACACACGTGGGGAATTTGGGAATTTTCCGGCGAACCGGAAAAGATCCAGTTCGCATGTCGAAGTCCTTCGCGGACGCATCGAACACATTGATTTGTTCAAGCGGATGGCCCGTTCCGGTTGGAACATTTTGATGCCCATCCGGTGGAGAGGCTAGAGAATGCCACCAGGGTACATTCTCTCATACGTGGGGGGGGCATTGTGGTCTTATCCCAGCGCGCCAAACAAATCAAGCCCGTGCGGGAAAATCATCACCACGCGCGTGCAACCCACTGTTTTTGAGGAGACGGCCCGCTCCGGTGCACCGGAAGAACAGGCGAGATAGTCCCATTCGTCGAAATGTCCTTGGGTGCGTTGTCGGATACCCTGCGGGCGATCGGTCGATTGGGAGGTTGGGACATGGGAAACACGACGCTGATTCCCCTTCGGGGGTGGATTTGCGATCGCGGCCCCGACGGTGGCATATCGCAAGACACGTCGCCGTCGTCGCATCTTGGCCCGATTACTATACTCGCGAAATCATTTGTCGATGGCAGGTATGAGCGATGATACCGATTCGTTACCATCATCATCATCATACAGCATTTTGCTGGGAACCGCGTTTCTCTGGCGAATCACTCAAGACGGTCGTGGGGCGATCGGGACGGTTGTGGTTTCGCATATGTTTGCGGCATTCGTGGTGAAGAAGATTCGGGACCCTGGCTGCAATACGTTTTTCTTGCTAAGGCACAGCCTGATCGCTCCCTGGTCGCTGAAGTTAATTTTTCCACGCCATCGGCACCTTTTGCTGCCTTCATCTTTGCCCATCCCTGGAGGAGAACAGGCGGCGCAAGTCGCGCTCCTCGGAGAGTTCATCGTCATCCTCGTCGCGGTCCTCGGGTGCACTAGGGGCAGCGACAATGAAAGGGAAGATAAAGGAGGTCGCATGCTGACCCACGATTGATGTACCCAAAGGCGTTGGTGCATTGTGCGTTTCAGAGAAACTCTTTGGACAGTATGCGTGGCTTGCGGATGTTTTGAGTGAAAGTTGGGGACTCGCCGCGTTTTTTGTGGGCAATCGTGTCCTCAATTCCTGATACCCATTTACTCATATTGAAGGTGCCGTTTGTTCCATATGTGTGATTGTATGTGTTGTTGCAGGTGTGGTGGCAGGGAGTTCAGTTTTCAGGTCATCGAAGCAAGTTGGACGATAGTCATTCCGCGTTCGCCATGCCATATGCCTCCTGGTGTGCTGGAGATTTTGAACAGCTAGGCGAGACATCAGCCACGATCGAGATGTTCCAAGGAGTCAACATGACGCCCTTAGTGGCACACCTCCCCCGCCAGTGAAGCCCCCCCCTAAATTCTGACACGGCTGTCCATTTCCCTTCTCACTTTCTCACCCTTGTCCACCTTTCCGTCCCCTTGTCTCCAAGAAGGTCAGCCAGGGGAATAGGGGATCGCTGGTTCCTCAAAAGTACGGGCCTGGGACCAACAAGTCCAAAGCCAGGCGGAAGAACTGAATGCGGAGATTGGGGAGCAGCAACAGCAGGAGCAGCAGCATGACCGCGAGCAGAAGAGGAGCAGCAGCAGCAGCAGCAGGGCAGAATCGAACAAGCATACAGGGAGTCATCGCCGCCCACCCGCCTTCGCGAGGAACCCACACAGATGGTCGATAACCGATGGTCGGGTGTCAGCGTGGTAATGCTAGTGGACCGCGTGTTACCCGAGTTGTCAGGGAACCATTGGGAGATCACAGGGGAGAGGCCCTTGGGGCTCTGTTCAAGCCTTGGGAATTTCTTGGGGTCCTCCTGGGGCTCGCTCGGGCCATCTTGGTGCTTACTTTGGCCGTCTTAGGGGCTCTCTTGAGTCGACTTGAGGTCCTCGGGGGGTCCTTTGGGCCGTCTTGGCCCAGCCCTGGGGGCTGCTTGGGCCGCCCGGGACGCTCTGAAGACCGAAAAGGCGAGAACCCTAACAGTATTGAAACATCTCACGAACATCAACGAGTTATGCCTTCCATGGTCCTCCTGGAGGACCGTCTTGCGACCATATTGGGCCCACTTGGCGGCATCCTGAGTCTACGTGAAGACAACTTTGAAGATCTCGAACCGACTCGATGCGGACAACCGCCCTCATGGAGACCTTCTTGGACCTATCTTGAGCGGAAAAGGCCACTGGGCGTTGCTCTCTCAGCGAACTGGCGGGCTGGGCCGAAGGCGTCCGAAATCCGCCGCATGCAGCTGTTCTCGGCCCCACCGAGGGGCCCATTCCTCGATGCATGGGCGCCTCCCTGCGCCGGGAGGCGCCGGGAAACACAGCTCCGTGAGCTGCTTCTCAAACCCCCCCTTTGCTATATCCCCCCCGTTTCGCCCGGCCCGAGAGGCTCCTCGGAGGGCCAGAGGCCTCCCGCCCCCTCTGCGCCCCCCCCGGGGCGCGCCCCCAGAGAAGCACCCCTCCAGCAGGCCACGGGGGCGGCGTATCAAGGGTTAAGTCGGGCCTGTCCCCCTACAGGGGGATTTTCGACGAAAAATCAAAATACCCACCAAAAAATCAAAAAATAATCCAAAAATAGTCTGGGGACTATGTTTTTTATTTTTTTTGACCTTCTTGGGGTATTTTCAGGGTATTTTTTATTTTTCGTCGAAAATCCCCCTGTAGGGGGACAGGCCCGACTTAAACCAAGGGGCCTTCGTCCCACCCCAGCACTGTGATCAGCCGAGCTGTGGACGCGAGGCGCACTGGGAACGTGGTCGGGAGCCCCGCGGCTTCCTGAGGTGGGGACCTCTGAAGGCTCTCTTTCGGAGGTGGACAGAACCCCCAACGTCGATTAGTGAATTGTCCGTTTTCGGTTCTCGAGAGGGCGCCGTGGTCGTTATTTTCCAGGCCTGCGGCCGCCAGGTTTGGGCCTCAGGTTGTTTTCACTAAACCACGTTTTACTAAAGGGGGGTCTGTCCATCCCCGACTCTTCCTTCTTGGCGCCTCCTGGAGGCCTCTCGGAGGTTTCTCGCGTGCCTCTGTGGAAGAGGGAAGATCTGCAGAAACAGAAATTTCGGAGACGCGCTGATCTCTTGGATCGGAGCCGGACCCCCCTCCCTGGCGCGCGGTGCGCGCCTGGGGCGGCGTCGGAGGCTCCCAGCGCCGAACCAAGAAATCCGTGCGGATTTCCGATAGTTTATGCGCCTTTTTGTTTTCCTCCACGCTGGGGGCCTTTGGGTTGGTCCTGGGTCCATCTTGTAGGGGAGGTTTCGGCGATCTGGGGGTGGCGCGTGCTCTTTGGGCCCTCCTTTGGAATGTCTTGCCGTCTTCAAAGCCTCGTGGGTGAGTCCCTTGGGTTGACCCAAAAGGGGGTCCAGCGACAAGGGGGTGGTACAGTAGATTTGGTGCAATAGATTTGTGGGGTTGTAATACATTTGGGGCGTGCAATACATTCCAGGGCACAAATGTATTGCTAGATTTTCGCGTGCAATACATTAGTTGCAATACAATCTAATACATTTCCCCGGCGCAATACATTTGCAATACAATTGCCCCAAATCTATTGCACCACCCTTTTTGACCCACTTTTGGGTCACCCAAAGTCCAGTCCCTGGGGCCGCTTTTGGTCGATCTGTGGGGCCTCTTTGGCCATCTGAAAAAGGTAACAGATCAGAGGAGCATGAGGTCATGATAAAGACTACGTTCCAAGATTTACAGGATGTCCCCGATATCTTCATGTCCCATACGGGCTGCAGAAACGAGGGCCGCTAGAGACTGAGCTGAAACGCATCCTGAGCCAATCCTGCCATGGCATCCTTCCCGTCCCAGCAAAACCGCACGATAGATATCGCCAATCGTGTGCTGTGGGCCCTCGGGCGACCCCGAGGGCCCCCAAGGGCGGCCAAGTACTCAGCCAAGGTGGCTCCAGTTGGCGCCCCTCGGGTCGTCTTGCGATCTTTATTTATGAGTGGGAGCTCGGACTCCCGGGCGAAGTCTGGAAGCGCCCTAGACAGTGCAGACATCGGGGGCCTGGCCCCCTTACCCAGACGGGGCTACACCTGGGCAGATCGTCCCAGAGCGTTCCGGAGCGTGATCAAAGCGTTCTAGAGCGAACTGGAATGGCCGCGGCGCCCGAGACGTTGTTCAGAATCGTCGGATGTCGAATGCCCAGTATTTGTCCTTGTCCGATGTTGTCCTGATCTTCGCTTCGTCTGGAAAACCACAAATATTATTCGATGTTCAGAAGTGAGGGTCTGGTGTAGGCTCCGCTCAGTGCTCGCGGCACGTTGGTAGATAGTAGAAGAGAAATAGGAGGAGGAGGAGGAGGAGGAAGATCCGGAATGTTTTGTTGTTGCCCCCCTGCGCAAGCTTACCAAGCAATGCTGGCTGAAGTACCCAGAGCTTCTGCTCAGATAGTCCCGTTCCACCGCGAGTAGACGCTCCAACAGAACAGGTGTCGCGTCACGAGGCCTCCCTCAGGCAGGCATGGAGGACGGGCCGTGTCGGCACACCTCCTTGAAGACGCGAAGGAGACAAGAGGGGGCGGTTTGGAGAGAGTGTGCTTGCTCCGCCTCGGAGTCGCGGGAGGGAAAAGGGAGCAGCGAGAAAGCAGCAGGGAAGACGGAGCTCGGAACACGGACGCAGCACACAACGATTGCCACTTTTAGGTGAGCCACCCGCCCCCCCACCCGTGCAACAGTCAAAAACCCTAATACGGACGCGCGGTTTTGCTCAGGGTACCCTTGCGTCCTTGCTCTTCCTTGCTCTTGCGGCTCGTCCTTGGCCTCTTTCGCTTGCCCGCTTGTCAGGGTACCCTTTTGGTTTTCGTCGTCCGCCGCCCCAGAAATCCCAACTGCGGCTTCCAAGGGTCTTGCGTCCTTACCGCGCGTCCTTATTAGGGCTTTTGATTGAAATTGCCGGAAAGTTCAGTGCCCCTCCTGGCAGACACGCCCAGTGGCGCGGCGAGGAGGAGACGGAGCTCGGAACACGGACGCAGCACACAACGATTGCCACTTTTAGGTGAGCCACCCGCCCCCCCACCCGTGCAACAGTCAAAAACCCTAATACGGACGCGCGGTTTTGCTCAGGGTACCCTTGCGTCCTTGCTCTTCCTTGCTCTTGCGGCTCGTCCTTGGCCTCTTTCGCTTGCCCGCTTGTCAGGGTACCCTTTTGGTTTTCGTCGTCCGCCGCCCCAGAAATCCCAACTGCGGCTTCCAAGGGTCTTGCGTCCTTACCGCGCGTCCTTATTAGGGCTTTTGATTGAAATTGCCGGAAAGTTCAGTGCCCCTCCTGGCAGACACGCCCAGTGGCGCGGCGAGGAGGAGCCTCTTGCACGGGAGAGGGATCCAGGGAGGAGGGAGGGGGAAGGGCCCAGGATCATCAGGAGGGAAAACAGGCACAGACAGTGAAACGTCGATTCAAGAATAGATGGGTAAGTATTGGAAGCGGTGGGGGGGAGGCGAAGATCCAGGAGATAGAACATGGGAGAAACCTGGAAGTTGTGCCCATCTATGTGTCCCTCCCGGGCCCAGGATCGCTGCCGGCGGTTTGCCTGTTTGGTGGCTTGGATATCGGCGTTTTCAGAACACTCTGTGAGGATGTCTCGAGCGAGGCAATGGCTTCAGCACCCCAAAGGAGAGCCGCCAGGGAGTACAGTGCAAACCCATGGGTTTCTTGGAAATCAATGGACGTCCTGGGGTCTCAGGGCTGGGTTTCCTGTGGAGGCTTCCTGTGGTCGAGCTCCTGCTATATCTCGCGGGCCCGTCCGCGCCGAGACTGTTGGGAATATCTCGAGCGGTTTGCCTGCTTGGTGTTTTTTTGGGGGGACTGTGGAATGACACAAACATACAGACTCGGAGGTCCGCGCGGATTTCTCGGGTCGGCGCTGGACCCCCCTCCCTGGCGCGCGGAGCGCGC